TCTGATAGGTGAGAAGAAGGCCGAGCAAAAACTTTCTGTCAGATGGGGAAAGACATGCCGCGAGGATCAGGTGAAAGTCGGTGCCATTTCCCTGGGTTCCTCATGGCTGTACACAGAGGTTCCCGGCCGTGGGGGCTGGTGTCACGGAGTGGAGGGGCCAGTCACCACGGGGCCAGCTGCCCTCGATACACTTGCTGCCACCATTTTGCTCCAGGCTCTTGCCCCACTGCCCCTTATCAGGGCAGTGAACACAGAGCCACCGTCCTCCTCTCTTCCTTCCCCAGTGGTGAGCGTTGAGCTTCTCCCTTAAAAGTTGTAGAACTGTGCAATACCTGTATTCACCTGCTATTTTGTAAAGTGAATCATCTGTTTGTTTTCCTCAGTGGCTTATTAAATGGACTCCTCCCTCAGCAAGTGGAAATATTTGTTTTTCTGATTGAGCATATATATATTTTTTTTACAGTGTAAAAAACATTCAGTTAATCTGAAATGTGCAAAGTAGAAAACGAAATATGCCCATCCTAGCCACCACTGCTTCCCTGCCCAGGCTGCCCAGTGTGAACAGTTCAGAACTTGAATCAGATTTAATCAAAGTCAGTCACCTGTTGATTCTTTTCACTCTTGAATGAGTGTTTACCCTCTGAGATTTGTCACACTTATAGGTAGCTTTTCCTAACTTTGACTTTTTAGCCTAGTGGTCTGATTTAGGATTTATTCATTCATTCAGTCAGCATTTGTTGAATTTCCATTATACACACTAACTATGCTAGCCATTGGAGATCAAGATGAATATGACACCAAGGGAAACAAGTGTGTACCTCTAATTAGAACACACTGTGCTATGTGTTATAAAATAGGTTTAAAAAGCAGGCACCTGGCGGAGAAGTAAGAAATTGCACTAGTTGATCCAGGACTGTGATTCTCCACTTCTGTTTTCACCATCCAGTACTTGCAGGGGTATCTGCCTTCTCACTGATTTGAGTTTGAAACTCTGACATGCAGTAGACTTCTGTAAAATGCAGGGCTTCTGTGTCAAGGTGGGTTGGGGGGATTGTGTCTGGCGTGCAAGGTAAACGTGTGTGTTTAGGATTCCAGCAGAAGCTAGCTCTTCCCTCAGGCCTCCTTGGCATTAGGACGTGGCCTGTTGCATCTTCCTCTTCTACGAGCAGCAGGCTGGATGTCGACTCTGTCTGCCTAGAGCATGTTACTCTCCTTGTTGAGTTACAGGGTGGACTGTGGCTTAGTATACAAATTGTAGGGCACTTTTTAGTTGAGCAATGAAAGTCTATTTTTGACTACCACACCATTCCAGGGGTTTACAATTCAAAAATAATTTCAGCTGAAGGTTTGAAATGCTGGATTCTCAGCCTAGTCTGGGGCAGCGCCTCTGAACAGCACAGGTTTTACAGCAGGTACATCAGCAAACAATACCTGACTTCTTTACTCTTTTTCCTTTTTTCAGATAATAGTACCGAATTTTGGGACACAGATATAAAATGGTTTTCCCTGCTGGAAAGTAGCAGCTGGCTTGACATAATCAGGTATTTCAAGGCGTTGTTTTGCTCATGAATTACACAGTTCTCTAAGCCAGAGTTGTAAAGCAGGACTTCCCTGGTGGCACAGTGGTTAAGAATCCACCTGCCAGTGCAGGGGACACAGGTTCGAGAAGATCCCACACGCTGTGGAGCAACTAAGCCCATGTGCCACAACTACTGAGCCTGCACTCTAGAGCCCACGAGCCACAACTACTGAAGCCCGCACTCCTACAGCCCGTGCTCTGCAACAAGAGAAGCCACTGCAGTGAGAAGCCCGCGCACCGCAACAAAGAGTAGCCCCCGCTTGCCGCAATTGGAGAAAGCCCACGCGCAGCAACGAAGACCCAACGCAGCCAAAAATTTTAAAAAAGTAGTAAAGCAACCTGACAAATAATTTAACTGTTTTCTATTTCACGGTTAAATATTCTTAGATCACATATTCTGTTCAGGGCTCAGCTGGATTTTACATTCATTATTTATTATTTCTGTGCACATCTGATAAGAATTTACAGACATGCTACCTGCCCATACAGAGATCTGCTCCCTAGACTATAGACTAGGGAGGGGAAGCCTACAAAAAAGGGGACGTGGCAACTCAGCATTCTAATTGAGCAGCAGCGCTCACCCCCAGGGAGGAATCTGGGGATTGAGAAGGGGAGGGATGCTGAGTTTTCTGGGTTTGTTTTTGTTTTTGGCCGTGGCCAGGGGTGGAACCCGCACCCTTGCAGTGAAAGTGCGGCGTCCTAACCACTAGACCTCCAGGGAATTCCCTGGATGCTGAGTTTTTACTGAATACCTTTTTAGAAGAATTCTGTATCTTATATGTCTCTTACCTATTAAAATTTTTTTTTTTTACTGTCACTAATGCCAGTTAGTTATTTTTCATTTTGGAGTTAAGTAGAGATTCCGAGAGAACAGAATTTTATTCCCTTTCCTACTTCCTATTTTGAATAGCTTCTGTCTGTTGCCCTTAAGTAGAGGAGAGGGCAAAGGGAGGCACAAAACAGAAATGATGATGGGGTGAGAGCAGGGGAGAGAACAGCTCCGAAGAGAAGACTCCTCCCTTCCACCTAGCCCGGCATCCTCTCTCACATCTGCCTGGGAGTTTGTGCAAAGGAGCCTCAGGCCTCCAAAAACTTTTTAACAAATAGGTTTTGAGGATCCTGCTGCATGTCCTTAATTTGAATATATAATTGCAAGTATTGTGATGAATGTTATAAAATAAAAGGACCTTTCCCTCCATGGGGTGGGTAGAGGTGAGTGTCCCTAAGCGGGTGAAGAGCCCAGGGAGGTGCCACTGCTGCAGGGTTACCAGTGCAGAAGGCAGAGCTGCTGGCAGCGGCAACAAGTCTCAAAGGGAGCTGCGTGGAGAGAGACAAAGGGATTTCAGGGCACGCTGGGCCTTTCCAGCCCCACCACCACATTTAGCCCACGACCTTGAGTTAACAAAGTGGACCTGCAGCACAGCCTCCAGATGTGGGCATTTCTGGGTCTTACTGGGACTCACCGACACACTCAGATACGAATTTGCAATAAGTATTTCTAGTTTAGGAATCATGTAGCAACATTTTTACATCAATTTTGGAAATCCCTTCCGTAAATTTTAAGTTTCTAATAAGCAGGTGAGTGTCTTGCAGTATCTGAAGAGCATGAACGATGATTTCTTTCTTTTTGGAGATCTTCAGCATGAAACGGTAAATGAGATAGAAAACTGAAGACCATGTCAGATGTCTCTAAATTTCTTATTGTTCATGATACTAAGCTCAGGAACTAATATCTGTTTTTCTTGCCTCTCTCCTATGTAGACGCTGCCTGAAAAAAGCAATAGAGATTATAGAATGTCTAGAAGCCCAAAACATGAACGTTCTTCTTTTAGGTAATATATTTAAAGCACAAAGCGTGGTTTCCTTTTTCCTTTACTTGGGATTCTGTTTCTGTATATAGAGATTTATGTAAGTGCAATTGTCTTGTAGAAGGAGCAAGCTGGTGTAGAAATCCTTCCCATTCTTTTTACCCTGACCTTGGAATGCTCTGCTTTGGATTTCATTGTTATAGTTTAAAAATAAATTCTTTCACTTGGAACTCGGCAGACCTATTCGCAGCCCAAGAAGGAATTGTTTGGTATCTTTACCAAAGCTCACATTTCCTCATATTTTGAGGTTTTGTTTTATATTAACTCAAAGTTAAAATCTTTGGATGATCTTTTTTTGTATGAAGAGACCCATGGATGGTTTAATTGTTATTTTTACATCTTTGTGTCTGACAACTTCGTGCAGTTGCCACAGAAACTTTGTGGACCATGATTCCCTTTTTTTCCGTGGACTTAACTTCCTGTACGTGTGGACAGGATATACACACCCAGAGAATGTGTAAAAGAAGTGTAAACCTCATGCAACAAAGATTGTTGGTGGAATTGGTTCGATCTGAGCTAAAATATTATCTGCCATTTTGAATATTTAAAGTTTCTTATAGCCCCATGCTTTACATTAAGTAGACTGTCTCATGCTTTCATCCCCTCAGGCTTTTATCATTTTTCTGACACTCTCCATGACTGCTAGAATTTAGCTTCTGTGAGCAGACTGGAAACGTGTCCACCTGTGGCTTCTGTACCTTCTGACTTAAATTTTAATACATGTACTGAGCACCTCCCGTGTACAGAGCTCTGTGCCTCTGCCTTCTAGTTTACAACTTATTGAGTTTGAGAGAGCATGCCTAAGGGTGTTATTGAAAAAGATCTAATTAACAACGGCAGAACAGAGTACTGAGTAACTGGTGAAAAGGAGGGATAAAGATTGGGGGGCTGAGAGGTGCAAGTACCCAGGGCCAGACTGCACCAATCCCAGAGTTGCGTAAAATGAAATGGGAATCTTTAGCGGGTGGAGGCTGAGCTGTCCCTCACTCCCCGAAGGACTGCAGAGTTGTACCTCTGAAATCTCATTCTCTAGCTGCTCTTCCTAGGACTCGCATGTGTACTGTTAACACCCTTCATACGCAAGAAGGAAGATTCTCTTAGAAAATGAAACTTGTTTTGAAAGGTGATAGCACAAGAAAGACAAATATAAAAATCTGCTTCTTCTGAACCCATGTGTTCACATTGTTTAGGCTTGTTTCCTGGAGAAGTCGGAGCACATTGTAAGCGTGGCTCTGTAGTCGGGGTCAGGAGGAGGGTTTAACAGCGCAAACACCTCCCTACGTAGAATTCGTTCTGAAGTTTCTCTAAACCCACTGCTACCAGCACCATTGTCCTCGTGGACATGTTAAAGTAGCACCTGGAGTTGCACTTCTTTGTGTAAAGTAGAAACCACAGGGATGTAGACCTTGACTTTTAGGACCTTAAAACTCTAAGACAAATGCACGGATGTAGATGTATGTTTTTATTTGCTATGAGTCATTTATGGTGAACCAGGATGTGAGCAGAATTTTCATCGTGTGGGTTTTGTACCGTGCACTCAGGGGTGAGCACATGGCTTATACTTACCGTGGAGAGTTTTTCCTCTAGGTTAGGCAGAAAGAAGCGGGCCCCTCTGTGCTCCCAGACAGAAATGGAAAGAGCCGTAGAGCTGAGAATCAGAGCATTTTGGTGCAATCCAGGAATGCTACCCTTTCTCCGAAGCAGAGGTAGTGGAGGAAAGGTGGCTGAGTAGCAGTGTTGCCTTGGAACAATGAGTTCAGTGATGGAGACCCTGACACACCAGCTGGAAGGGTTTTGAACTTGGTCTGTGGAGCCCAGCAAGTGCCATGATGTATATGATTGTGCCCTCATTGTGTAGCACATTTGGACCCCGCATTCTGACAGTGGGTTTGCCATGCTGCATTTATTCATCAGTAACAAATCCATCTTTAGTGCCAGTGTGTGCTGGAACCGGTGCCAGCCAGGCTAGAAGCTATTTGTCTCTCAATCTGAAAACATTACCTTTTTCTCCCCACTGGCCCTGGCCTTTGGAGAATTAGAGCTTGACTGCCCGTGGTAGGCGCTGGTGCTGAGGCCCCTGCTGTTACCTGTGCCTGTGCGAGCCCTCTGCGGCTCTTTAACACTTGGTACCCTCCTTCCTCTCCGTGCTGCTGCTGGGCATCCCTCCACCCCAGAGGAGAACGCTTCCGACCTCTGCTGCCTCGTTTCCTCTCTGGTGCAAGTGATGATGGACCCCCACTGTCGAACCAGGTTCGGTTTCCAGAGCCTTGTCCAGAAGGAGTGGATCGTGGGCGGGCACTGTTTCCTGGACCGCTGCAACCATCTACGTCAGAGTGACAAGGAGGAGGTGAGTGTCCTCATCACAGACCTGGCAGCCATGGGGAAGCAGAGCCCCGTCTCTTCATTCATCTGTCTTCCGACCGAGGGCTCCTGCCTGCAAAGTGCACGCCTTTTAGGGGCTTGTCAGGAAGGCTGAGGTCAGTGCACTGCTGGATGCCTTTCAGTGCTTGAAACACTATTGAAACTCTTCCCAGGGGAGAGGGCTGTTTATTAACAGGTGTGTTCAGAGTCTTCTCATCTAAATTGTGTACCCCAGGGTACATATATTATATGTCATGGTGGAAGTAATACTGATTTGTAAAACTTAAATAAAAATGAACTCAGTGAGAGAGACTCCCACAGTTTCTGATAATTTAGTCTTTGCAAAAAAAAATGAACATTTAGGGTACAAGTTTCCTACAGAAAATACATAATAACACAAAGTAAATTTTCCTTGCAGTAAACCCTTTCAAAATAAAGCACAGGGTTATGTGAATGCTATCCAGTACCAGGGCCTTCGCCATGGTAGCTGCAGGTCTGGGCCTCCGAATTCAAGCACTGGAGAGTTAGCATTACAGTTCAGTTAGTGAACATGAGCCCCCCAGGCTGGGGTGTACTTGTCTAGGTTACAGCGGCGCAGACTCCTTTGGCTGCATTATTAATGACTGTGGAAAGAAAAATGAAAACAGGTGAACTTTAATTAGATCACCTGCAGAGCTAACATATGCTAGCAGGGCGACTGGTGGTTTTTCTTACCCCAGGTAATAAGCACGTCTGTCTGCGGTGCTGGACAGCTTGACACAGCGGCTGTGGAAACAGAGACGTGGCTCTTGCCCATAAGGGCTTGGTGTGTCCTGGGAGACCCAGCCCCCTCTCACTAGGCCTGCAGTTTCTTTCAGGCCTGTTCTGTACTCATCCGTGTCCCATCGGGCTGCATGGACATCACCATCTTTCAGTCTTGAAAGGGACCTTGCGTTTCTGAGATACTAATTTGAAAGGTTAATGGGACTCAAATAACATGACGGGCAGAAAGAGCTGATACTGTGTGTGGAAGAGTGTGCTTTTGTATATCTCGTATAGTTTGTATGTCTTGAGAAAAGGGGGACTGACAGGCACCGTGTCTAGTGGGGCAAGAGCCCGAGAGCAGATCAGGTGTGTTTACCCAGTGCTGGGAGGAGTCACCCGTACTTTGTGAGCCCATTTATTTCCCTGACTGTGCAATGAGGTCCAAACATTTTACGCTCTATTTAAGTATGCTCTTGAACATAAATGAGGTGTGAAATAAAGTTGCCCATGTAGACCTTTCTTTTCATCTCAACACTGACATACTGGAGTTTTGATAGAAAACTGGGTGGTCTACTTTGTGATGTAATTGACACGGCACTGGACTTTGATTCAAGAGCTGGCTTCCGGGCTTCCCTGGTGGCGCAGTGGTTGAGAGGCCGCCTGCCGAAGCAGGGGACACGGGTTCGCGCCCTGGTCCGGGAAGATCCCACATGCCGCGGAGAGGCTGGGCCCGTGAGCCATGGTCGTTGAGCCTGCGCGTCTGGAGCTTGTGCTCCACAACGGGAAGGGCCGCAGCAGTGAGAGGCCCGCGTACCGCAAAAAAACAAAAGAGCTGGCTTCCCAGCTCCCGCCTCTCAGGAGCTGTGTGTGAGACCTTGGCCAAGTTCGGGAAGGGAGAGACTGTGACGTGGCCTGTCCTGTCCACCTGACAGGGTCACTGGTGATTGGACGAGGAGCAGTTGGGGATGACAAGGCACCCTCGAAAACTCTCATCTCTACTGTTAGAGCGCTTGCCTCTGAAGCTAATAAAAGAGGCCATCGCTTTAAAAAAGTGCATTTGTGAAAAATGTTAGAAACTCATTTTTGCTGCTTCTGCCTTCTCTCCCATCCTCTTTCTCTTCTGGGCCCTCATTGTCAGGGGTGTGGAGAAGGGAGTATCCACAATGTTTGAAGTAATTGAGTAGTATTTCTTTGTAACACAGTGCTACTAATGAGAAGAGTGGAATTCTTCTGTGGGGAACAGCATTCCATTTGTTGAGGTTCAGAGCTAGTGTTCCCTGTTACCAGGATCAGTTGCAAGTGCTCACCTGTCAGTGCTGATTGACAAGGAGATTTTTACATCATCTCAGGAATGTCTTTCACGCGGAGAGGTCCTGCCAAGTCCTGATGTTAATCCACGGGTGTGTGGTTTCAGTTGACCATACTTATCACTGGGAACGGGATGGAGTTGAGAATGTGAATCGCCTGGGAATGGCGTTTCCCAGAGCGTATAGTGCCCGGGAGAGGTTATTCCCCAGCTGTCGAGGTGGCTGCCCTGAACCCAGGACCGCTGGCTGTGGACCGCTGGTGCCCCTCAGTCACGTGTATCTCGTTTTCACGTAGGTTCCCGTGTTCCTGCTCTTCTTGGACTGTGTCTGGCAGCTGGTGCACCAGCATCCCCCAGCGTTTGAGTTCACGGAGACGTACCTGACCGTTTTGTCAGACAGCCTGTACATACCTATCTTTAGCACCTTCTTCTTGAATTCGCCTCATCAGAAAGACACAAACATGGTAAGAGTCCCTCTTAGGAACCTGTGTATTGAAGAAGCCATGTCTCACAGGTAGGGTTTGCAAGAAGATTGATGAAAAAAAGGATAGTTCTGTGACACTGATGCTTTATATGCTGGGCTTTATATGCATATATACTATATGCTGAGTGCTTTCCGGGTATTGATATTTAATCCTCAAGCACCCTGTGGGTCTGAATTATTATCCCTGAGGAGCTGAGGCCCTGAGACGGTGAGTAACTCGCCCCAGGTCACGTGGTAAATATTGGAGCCGGGAGCAAGTGTCAGAGCCAGGAATGAAGCAGATTAGAAGTTGTCTTTGTGAACAGGTCAGATGCCTTCTCTTCCACTTGCCCGATGCCTGGCGTGACTCTGAAGAGAGCTGTGGCGGAGCAGGGAAGCTAGGCTTTCACTTTCCGTCTTAAACGTCCTTAGTCTCCCTTGAGGCCGCGCTCCCAGGGCCTTAAGTCTGCGCCATCGGTGCTCTGACCAGCCCTCTGGGGGCCTCGGGGTTTGCTGGAGCTGGCCCTCCAGTGGGATTTTACCATATCCCACAGGGAGTGGGAAACAGAACCCCAGGCTCCACTCACACAGCCTCGCTGCTCACCAGCTTCGTGACCTCAGGCGGTCACTTCCATTTTCTGAGCCTCAGTTTCCCCAAAGGTGAATTGGAGAAATAGGAGTGACCTCATAAGGGTGCTGTCCTGGGAGACCGCGGCTGGCATGCTGCCCGCTGGAAGCAGCGCGTCCTGCCCCACCCCACGCAAAGCCGTTAGTGCAGTGAGCAACCACTGGAAGGCTGGCTCTCGGGGCAGGCGGGGCGCGCCTTCCTGGGGCCTGTCTTCCAGCACTGTGTTTGCTTTCCTCAGCCCCGCTAGAAGCGCCGTGACCTGTGCTTGTTTTGGCAGGGCAGGGAAAGCCAGGGTGCACAAAGCAAGCCTTTGAAACTCCTCACCGTGTGGGATTGGTCTGTGCAGTTCGAACCCAAAGCCCAGACGTTGCTCAAAAACCCTCTTTACGTGGAAAAGCCAAAACTGGACAAAGGCCAGCGGAAAGGAACGCATTTCAAAGTAAGATGTGCACATGTCTAACCCCCTTCGTCTGTGCAGAGATCCCCATGACCGTAAGGATGAGAGTTACATGGACACAGTCTGCAGAGTCGAGATCGTGATGGGTAGATTGTCAGGGCCCCTGAGAATCCTTTGCCTTCAGCAGGCCAGCGTCTGTCCTGATGAGACGTGGCCATTAGCTGAGTGTCGCCGGGGCTGCTGCGTGGAATCGAGCGTCTCCCCCCTGCCCGCGTGCGGTTGGTAGAGTAGAGGGGACGGCGATCACGGTGTGGGCTCTACTACGCCGTCTGTACCGGTTCACATCTTTAATAGCCAGGCCTCTCTTCACGCTAACAATGGTATTTGCGACTAACGTGTTCTGTCAGGGGCCACAAAGTCTCTGGCACAACTCCCCGCATGCTGTTGGAGCTCAAAAACAGCTACAGACGCCCCGTAAGCAGACAGGCCTGGCTGTGTTCCAGTATTTACAAAAGCAGGCACCAGGCCAGATTGGGCCCGCGGGCTGTTGTTTGCAGACCTGGGCTGAAAACGACAGGCATCAAATTATTTGGGCCTCCCTTTAGATATTTGTTCCTGACCTTACTAGTTATTAACCCCGATGCTCCCTGGGTGATGCGTGATTTACATGGCATTTCCCGTTCAGTCTCCTGACCTGGACCCCCTGCCAGCCCCCCGACCCCATGAAATGGAGAGCGGGGTGGCCAGTGGTGGCCAGTCACAAGTCGGTGGGCGTCACTGCCTTCTCCACCGCCATCCTTCTGATCCCGCCATCCCACGGGGCTCCTGGGAGCCCAGCCCGTCCTGCTGTGGGAGGTGGCTCCGTTCTAAAGGGGCTTGGGGACGCAGGTGAACCAAAGCCAGCAATCACAGAAGGCACAGCTGCTGGATAACTTAGAGCTGATGCTTTGCCCTTCAAGGGTCCTCAGGCCCAGGCTGGGTGTTTGCCCTCCTGGCTCAACCTCTTTCCTGTCTGTTGGGCCAGAACTGCCCTGCGCTCCAGAACAGTTTGGCCGGAGGTCAGTTTTTGTCAGCGTGCTGTGCCCCCTGGTGGCTGCACACACACTTCCCGCCCGGTCAGGATTGCAGAGCTGCCCCAGGCCCTCAGAGACGGAAGGGAGGAAGTAAAAGCTCCACCCGGTAAGACTAGAGTCCATTTCTCTGCCCAGGCCCCGTTGTTCTAAATGTCCCTTCTCCTTGTAGTTGGGAGCAGAGGACCTAGGTTCCAGGAGCTGGCCAGTGGGAGAGACTTAAGCTGCAGGGTTGGGGGGCATCTCAGCTTGTACTAGCTAATGCAGAGCTGGCGCTGGGCCAACAAAGACCTGTGAAGCCGTTTGGTGAGGCGTCTGGGCGTCAGGCTCGGGGCCTCTTGTTGAGTGGACAGGTGGCCTTGGAGTAGTTCTGTAGAGACCAAAGAGCCGTGGCTGACGAGCACGATGCACTGCCCTGGGAATTACCACTCGTGACCATGGGGTCCACTCAGGTGTGGGGTCCCAGCCTCAGCCCTAGGCCTTGACCAGGCTCTGGGGGCACAGTGCTGTTCACACCTGGCCTGTCTGGAACGCTTCAGAGAGGGCCTTGCAAGACAAGGAGAGCTCTGTTAAGAGTCCAGGCTCTGGAGCCAGACTGTGGTCGTGAAACCACGTCTGGCACTTGGTAGCTGGGGCCTTTGCAGTTACTTAACCTCTGTGCCTTAGTTTTCTCATCTGTAAAATGGGGCAGTAATAGTGACTTTGAGAACTGGGTAAGTGGTTGCACGTTAAGCGCTGAGCAAAGAACCCGGCAGGCAGTGAACACTCTGTGGCTGTTAGGTTCCACCTGCTTCCCCTGATCCGTGACTCACCTGGATCACTGGAGAGAAGAGGCCGGCCTCCGACTCCTGGCCTTCGGCTCTCCTGCCCCCAGATGGAAAGTCAAAAATCCTGGTCATCTCTGACTTGGGGTATTGTGAATGGTTTTGCTTTCTACTTTGTATTTCTATTGTTGTTCTACATTCCATAATAAGGAAATATTTTTTATAAGGAAGAACCACTGGCAGGAACATGTTAGAGAGGTAGGAGGCTAGCCCCAGAATGAAACTTTTATCTATTCTGATTTCAAGTGGATACCTCAGGAGCAAAAGAGTTGAGAGAAACAGCTTCTTCTCAGATTTTTACCTTCTCCTTTGGGCACCAGGGATCCCTTGTAACCGCCTTTACCATCTTCACAACCCTTTCGCACTGCATCCCCAAACACACCACCTTGCTTTGGCTGCAGGTGGAGTTACCGAGGAGGGCAAAAGTGTAAATGCTCTCACATTTTCTGCTCCGTGCAGCTCATCAGACGAGAACATCCAGCCCGCTTAGCCAGTCCTCCAGTTTCTTTTGCTCCCGTCTGTCTCTTTCTCCAGAATCTTTTTGACCTCCCACTGGATACCCAGTAGCCTACAAGTTAAGCCTACAGATTATTTCATTGGAGTGACAGGCTCTTCAGGTTATCGGCAGCACTTCCTCACAGGTGTTCAGAATATTGTGAAACCGAACACCCTAAATTTCTCAGAGAAGAAACATCTTGCTCCTTTCAAAAATGAATAGGCCTCATCCCCAAACTCCCCTAAATCATCATCAGCCCATCTTAACTTAAGCTTGTCCTTCACAAGTACTTAACGCCCCACACCTGGTTTCACCCGTTTGTTTATACGCCCAGTGTGCATCTGACACGTGCATTGTGGCATAAACAAGAATCCCCTACCCGCGCGCCGCTGCTTTCTCTCTGCGTGTGAGAGCGTGGCAGTGAACTTACGTTCACGGGGCAGTTCTGATATCTCATGACTTCTGTTAAAGCAGGATTCTGTCTTGATGGGAACAGCTGTCACCGTGCTGTCCGGCTAACCAGAGATTTTTATTTGTGTTTTCTCTCAAAGCATCAGCGACAACTTTCTTTGCCGCTCACCCAATCTAAATCATCTCCCAAAAGAGGATTTTTCAGGGAAGAAACAGATCATTTAATTAAAAACCTTCTGGGCAAGAGAATTAGCAAACTGATTAATTCCTCTGAGGAGCTGCAGGACAACTTCCGAGAGTTCTACGACAGCTGGCGCAGCAAGCCCCCGAACTACCACGGGCTACTGCTGCCTCACATCGAGGGGCCAGAGATCAAAGTGTGGGCCCAGCGCTACTTGCGGTGGATTCCGGAGGCCCAAATCCTGGGTGGTGGCAGAGTGGCCACCCTGAGCAAACTCTTGGAGACGATGGAGGAAGTCCAGCGCCTACAGGAGAAAATCGAGGAGAGACACCACAGCCAGGAGGCCCTCCAGGCAGAGGCCGCCTCGCTGCTGAGGACCTCGGCCCGCCTGTCCTCCTTGTTCCCTTTTGCGCTGCTGCAGCGCCATTCCTCCAAGCCAGTCCTGCCCACCAGCGGGTGGAAAGCTCTGGGAGATGAAGAAGACTTGGCCAAGCGAGAAGATGAGTTTGTGGATCTAGGGGATGTGTGACTGGTCTGCTCAGTGGCGGTAAGAGAGGAGTGTCACAGGCTGAGGCAGGAGCCAGACACGTCTGCTGTCTGCATCGGGCCGTCACGCTGAAGCTGACTGCTGGGAGGAAGCCTGGGCCTTCAGGAAAAGGGCTGGTCCTCATTTCCCACCGCCCCATGGTTCTGAAAGACTATGCAATGAAAACCATAGCTCTAGTATTATTAGTGGAAAGGAGTCACTGCTTTTGACCCATGATACAACTGTGGCCAGTGTCTTCTGCATTAGCATCATACAGACCCTGCGGTAGCTGGTTTACTACTTAGAAAGGGCCTTGGTAAGATGTGCTTGGACTCCATACTGTCTTCAGATCTTTGCTGTGCCAGCGTAATTTATCCAGTCGTCGGGAGTAGTAAGTGTCTCTCTAGCCCATCTCGGCTCGGAGCAAGTCCAGCTTTACCTGATGTGTGTGTGGCTAGTTGAGAGATTCAAATAGAGATATTTAGATGTATGGCCTTCATTTTCAAACCTTAGCATCTTTCCTTTCTGCGTCCTCTTGCCACGCGTGTCACCATCCTGACATTTCCGAGCGTCCTCAGGCTGTGTCACTTTATGTGGGACGGGGGACTGGCTCGGGGGCCGGCGGCCCCGGGTCCCCCGCCTGCTCTATACCACTCGCCACTGCCCCTGCACGCTGCCCACCTTGGTGCACGTGGTCCCGGGATCTTGCTGCTAAACCTGTTGGGCAAACTGGGGGACTCCCTTTGGTTTGCCCAGAGGAGCTTCCATTTTTCTGGAGGCGCGCAGTGTTTGAAAGCAGTTGCTTTGCCTTTTCCTAATAGCACGCCGGGGCTTCAAGCGTCTGTGCCCGCCGTCCTCAAGACGGTTTCCCCAGATTCTGTTACCTTATAGACTGATGAGTAGGATCGCTGTTGAGCGTAGCTTTCATAGGGAAGCGGTCAAGCAGAAATATCAGAAGTGATGGTGATCACATAGTACCTCAGCGATTTAAAAAGCCATAGAAGAAACTTGACTATGCCTGGTAACCTTCCTGGATCTGCTGTCTAAATGATATATATTTTTTAAATGCAGGAAAGTACATTTTGTAAGGACCAGTTTTTTCATTCTCCGTGGAACCCTGTTCAATTCCACAAAAGGAAGGGGAAAGAAATTATCTCGCATTAGAACGTTTCCTATCGAAAGTTTGCCTTTTATGTCCATTTGTTCTCCAGTGTAGATCCCAATTTGAATATTGCCTGTTTAGAAAAACTTTCAGTTGCTTAAGGGCAGTAAGAAATTTTGAAACTATTGACAAAGAGGAGTTTCTCGGTTTGCACTGAATCGTCTTTTGTACACACAAGAAATTGCTTTGCAGTCCTCCCCACGCCATGACAGTGGAGATTGAGGGGAGGGTAGGATTCATGCATCTGGGGCCAAACACATGCCCAGTCTTGGTTGCCTTAAGAGTCTCACTAGTAAGGTCAGTGTTGGGCTTGCAGTGGGGATTTTAAAATGACCCTAGTTCGTTGGCTACCTTCTTGTATGTTCTGTGGGCCTTCTTAAGCTAGCACTAACCTCCCTTCCCTGCCTCACTGCCTCCCAGGTACACTATGGAGCTAACTAGTTTTGTTACCATATTATAATGGGAATATTTATACAGTAGCGTCTTCAGTCTTAAGATCTTAGTAATTTTCACTCCAAAAATGCCTGGTGTGATGCTTTACACTCCATAAGGTATGGTTTAAAGGCACAAGGTCACGGCCCCTGTCATAGTGGTTGAATGTGCATTGAAATATTTTTCTATGATTTTTTTTTTTTTTATAAAATTACGATAGAAAAATAAGCTGTTGTAACATGTAAGGTCATGACAGTTTATGTATTTATATTTGAAATCAGATTTCTATAAAGTTGTATTTGTGTACAGGATTCTCAGTGGGTTTATATATTGTGACATTTTTATTCAAGATTGAGATGTGGATTATGCTTAACAGTAAAAGCTGAAATGAGACCATTTACTTTGTCTGAAATGCTGCACTGTGCACGTTTGGAAATGTACATTAACTTCCTGTATGTAATATCTTGAGTTTGTTTATACCTCCAAGTTTTTACACTGAAGATAAATTAGCTTTAATTACATTCAAAACGTTTTTTAAAAAAGGGAATAAGCTGTTGGGCTAAATCTGCATAAATGTGCTTTTTATTTTCTGGATGTACAATGAGAGTTTATACTTGTATTTCACTGCATCATATCCGATTGCAGAAATTAAAGCACAATTTACAATACTGTATTTGGTGTTGTTGATATAACATGGAATGATTACTTTCATTTGGTCAGTGTGCGTGTGTCTGTGCGTGGTCGATTGGTTGGTGGGTGGGTGGGAAACCAATAACCAAATAAAGATTTGGAATTTCAGGAGGAGGTAAAATACTGTGACGAAAAATAAAATAGGGTAGGAGCCCTACAGGGTAAGTAAAAGGAAAAGGTTTTTTTAATCCCTGAAATTAAATATCACTGCCTCTTTGCTTTTGTGGGGATATGTAAAATGATGATTCTGTCACTTTGTGGCTGGAAGGGATCTGAGTTCAGTTAAACCATGAAAGAGAGAAGCCTTCGTTTTTCCTCCCAGAGAGATTAAGCACTCTGGCCTGGCTGTGACGGTGTGTAAGAGTAGGATTTTTTTCCTCATTCGCCAGTTTAGCGTTTACTAGATTGAGACCTGTGACTTGTGGTGGTTGGGAAGTTCCTCCCTCCTCTGCCCTTTCCTGCTCGTGGCCCTCTCCCTCTCCGTAGCCCTGCTCTGCTTGCCCTTCCCCTGCTGTCGGCCAGGCCCAGCCTCCTGTGTCGCAGAGCTGACTCTGAGCCATCCCTGGAACTTCATAAGCGCTCACTGCTGCCCCACTCCCTTCGGATGTGTCAGTTCTTTGATGCTTGTATTAAACTCCCAAGTATTTAGCAGTCCTGGCCTTACAGGCTCACCGACTCCAGTCCTGTTTTCCACATTTGTTAACCAGCTCTTGGACTTGGGATGACTCGGCTGTCCCTCTCTCCGGGTTTTACTTGTTCCTTGGTTTCCAGGTGGGGGTGAAACAGGACTGTGGGGAGAGGTGGCTCCTGTTGAGAACAGACTCCTGGCTCGCCTGCCTTCGTGTCACCTCCTGTCCTGGAAGGTGAGTCGAGGGGCAGAGGGAGCCTGGACTCCAGCCTGTTTTCCCAGCCCCTCCAATGGTTGTGGTCAACGTTGCTCAACAGGAGGAGAGGCTCCTCAGCTGTGCTTGTACCCCCCTGGGCTCTAGAGCATTGGTGGAGCCCGCCCTGGGGCAGGACCACTGCAGGGACGGGGCCTGTAGTGACAGGGCCTTCCACGTCGACCTCCCCCAAACACACATACACTCTCTCGCCCTTAAAAATATTAGATGGGGATGGGAGACGCAAGACCCTGTTTGTGCCGTGGGCTCCAGTGTAACCAGGGATCGTCCAAGGGCTTACACAGGAGAATGTTGACAACCAAGCTGGCCACCGGTAATACAAAATAACTGGTGAAACGTCATTTATATATTGAACAGGAAAGTAATTTGTTAGGGTGATGGTTCTGTATCTTTAAAAAAACAGACATCTTGGTCTCTTTTGTGGTTCAGGCCCAGGTTCTTTTAAGTTCTTTTGTTTTTAATCCTTCTATTACACCGTCTGCCTTTAGCAATTTAAGGATATGAAGTGTATAACCATATGGAAATATACACAGTAAGCTTTTGGCTTTCTTTTAGAAGAATCCAGTTTTGCTAGCCAGTCCAGCTTTTGTTAATAGTTTTTTTTTTCTTTTAAATTTAGATTTGCATATTAGTTTTATGGAAAGCTGTGTGGCTTTTTTGTTTTTAGTCCCAGTCATTTTTCAAATGATCATCTTCACAGATGTAGGGGCCAGGCGAATGCAGGGCTTGCTTATCGCCAGTGCTGAAAGGGCACAGCGCGTGCCATTCCTGGGCTGGGAAGGAATGCAGAGGGGCCGCATTTCATCCCTCAGACTGACCTGAGGACCTCGGCCTGGAATGCACTGCGGTGCCTCAGGGAGAGCTGGACACAGCCCAAGCCAAACTACCTAGAACGAAAAGCAGTAGCTAGTCTGGGCTGAGGGTAGAGGTATGGGGACAGGGCTGGGCTGGGAAAGGGGCCCGAGGGCTTGCTCTGGAATGATGGCAGCATTCTACATCTCGATCGGCGTTTGGCTTCTATAGGTGTGTGCCAAAGTACATTTAAGCTGTGTTTCACTGTATTTAAATTGTACATTAAAAGAAAACTAGGCAAATATTGAAGTCTAGTTGATGATACTGCCACCAACTTATCTAGGGGGAAATGCTCTCTTGTCTGCATTTGACTTTGAATGGCACCAACAGTAAGAGGGATTAATGGTTGGGTAGAGGGACGGACATGGCTGGATATGTGATAAAGCAAGTATTAGCAAAATGTCAGTGATGTGATCTCGAGCTGGGTGTGTGGGAGTATGAGTATCCACAAAATTCCTTAAAGTTTGCTATGTTTGAAAGTGTGTCGTCGTCACCCCACCCCCCCCCCCCCCCCCCCCCCGCCACTGTCCATCAGGGGCCAGGATGGGAGAGGCCGGCCTGGGGGCAGAAGAGCAGGGAGGGGCACAGGCGAGTCCGGAAAGGACTCTGGACAGCAGCAGTGGGCAGAGCAGGGCCCGCAAACCCACAGGTCAAGGGGAGCTGCCCCCACCTGACTGGTCCCACTCGAGGCAGGTGACAGCCTCGCTGTGCCCCGAGCAGATGGAGTGCACGTCCCAGGGATGCTCGGTGTCCAGGATGTGGATCACGCGGGTCAGGTCTGTGAAGGATGGTGTGCTCAACACGGCAACAACAGCCGGGTGCCTGACGACCCCAGGGGCGTCAGGGAGGAAGAAGCAAAGCCCCGGCCACGGGGACTCAGGAGCCACTGCTGACATGCCGGCCGCCCGAGTAGAGATGGAGCGGCCCGTGACCCTGCCTCCAGTGGGGCAAAGGAGACGTAGAAA